GTCAAAAAACGCTGATTACAGTCTGTGTGCATGGACAGATATGATAACATGCTGTGGCGTTTACTGGCTGTAGAAAAAAACATCAAAAGCCAAAAACAGCAGCTGTAAAAACGCCCAGTGTGCATAAGGGCTTAGTCAGTGTACATGTCAGTCATTAACTGACACACTGACATGAACTGATAATTACACTGCCACTAACACTGCCACTTAACTGATGACTAACACTGCCACTAACAGTGACACCTAAACTAACAAAACTAAGTCAAGCACTGAACTAGTTTATCTTTGTTTTTTTTTTCTTCAACAAACCTTTTTTGCGTGAAGACATTTCCTCCAGGAGGAATAGATACAGTGTACATTTTCCTACTATTAGCAAAGAAGTCTGTTGTTTCTCCTCTTCACAGAGGTGGAACAATATTAGCGGGCTACAGAATTAATGATCACTGTGATCGGAGAAGGGGAAGTGAGATAAATTAAGAGTTAATAAGGGGTTAAATAGGAACAGATTTTATTGTAAAAAATCTGCTGTTTTTCACTTGTCTGGTTGCTTTAACTGACATATGCTATATTGTAAAGCGCTAAGCAAACTGTTGGCGCGCTATAAATCCTGTATAATAATAATATGCAGACTGGAGCTCACCCGGTTTGATCTGCAGAGGGATAAAATAGAATAGATGCAAATGTAACAATGCTACTTTGTAAACAAAATACCTTGTGTACTTTAAAAGATAAGTTTAGGATTTAAAAAAAAAAACATTTATACTCACCTAGGTGAGTTTATATTCACCTAGTGTTCAAAGACAGCTGATCGCTTAGTTCTCGGTCTTCAGTGAGAAGAGAGCCATTGACTGACTGTCATCTGGTGACAACTTGTGCACAGTGGTCCGTCAATGAACTCAAGGAAAGGCTTTTAGGGTGAGTAACAAAATCCACCTTTTAACATATAAAGTTTGGAATACAGAAGCTATGTCGTGATGAGTGTGAAGGGCTGCTCATCTTGGATAGATGTGGTGGGGAGATGTGACTAAGGCCTGAGATCTTTCGTTAGCAATTTCTCTAACTGTACTCCGACTCACATGGTAATCGGTAACACCTTTGAAAGTCTTTTGATATCTTTTATCCAACTCTTGGTGCATTTTATTCTAATTTCTGGTGACATTAGGAAAATGTTCTGTGTCTGTAAAGAGAACTGAGGGAGAGATTGCAGAGTCCGGAACAACAACACTAAAGAGCCGCTGCTCCAGGACAGTCCACCCTAACTACACCCCACACACCTGCCGAGAGGGTGCTTGCTCAGCTTGCAAGCTGCACAGTAAACAACGAAAATCCTGGATGACTGCACTCCAACAGATCCTCTCTATTGAAAGATGAAATTCCAACAGGCAGAATTACACATAGAGGGGGAAGAAGAGAAAGGTTGACATGTTTTGTTCGTTAGTGCTAACTCATATGAATAAGCGCTAACGAGCGAAACATGTCAACCTTGCTCTTGAAGGAGAAAATTACTTGATTAAAAAAGACAGTGAGGTTGCTTTACTAAATGTTTTGAGAATCTTCACACAACATATTGTGTGAAGATTTGCTTAAAGCTGATTTCCAACTGAAAAAAAGTCAGTAGCTCCAAAAACTGTAGCTGCTGACTTTTAAAATACAGACACTTACCTGTCCCTCGGTCCAGCGGTGTCCTCTCCACCACTGGTTTCACTGGCCATCTTCTCTCCCTGACCCCAGCATCTTCAGTGTGGGCATCCAGCTGTTACAGCTTCACAGCCAGATGCCCACTGTGCATGCGCAAGAAGCGCTACGCTTTGTGAATGGCCTTGTCACGTGTCTCAGAAGACTACGGGGGGGGGGGGGGACAACCTCCGCTTCCGATCGCCTGGGCGATCTTAGCAGAAGTGGGAGCAGGTACCTGTCAAATTCGGGTACCCGCTCCCCAAAGGTGCCAACCCTTAATGTGGAGCGGGGAACAAAGGCTTGAAGCGGTACTTCCCCTTTTGGGTGGAGCTCTGCTTTAATATATCCAATCATGTGAAAAGAAAATCCCTGTTTACCTACTTCATCTGCACATGATTGGACAACTTAAGTGAATATTCACACAATTTATTGTGTGCACATTCTCAATTTCTTTAGTTATTTAGTCAGTACAGGAAAGATTTACTAAAACTTGAGCACTCAGAATCTGGTGCAGCTGTGCATGGTAGCCAATAAGCTTCTAACTTCTGCTTGCTCAGTTAAGTATTAGCAATAAAACGTAGACTCTAATTGGTTTCTATGCAGAACTGTGCCAGATTTTGCACTCTCATATTGTAGTAAATAACCCAAATTGTATTTAAAGGATAGTTCACCTTTGGGAACATGTTACATGTTCCACTCGTTTTTAAGGTGTAACATGTAACATAGCTACAGCTGCCGCCTGTCGCCACCACTCCCTCTGACAGATAGTAAAACAGTACGGCTGTGCAGGGCTCTGCCCACATGTCCACATAATTCTTGGACCTACATGAATGAATGAACAGCAAGTCCCGACAGCCTTATCGGCTATTGGCTTGTAGTTTTCAATTAACTACCACGCCGCTGTGGAGCATTGTGGTAGTTAATTAAAAGCTTCTTGTCAGAATATCTGCTTGGCTGTACATCCCTGTACGGCAAGCAGATATTCTGACAGGTCTGCAGGTGACCTGCATGGCACCAGCGATCTACTGCTCACTGGTGCAATGCTTTCCTGGCTCCTTTGGAAAAAAATAAGAAATGCACATTTTGTTACCTGTAAAAAAAAGTGCATTTATTATTTTTGTCTGAAAGGTGAACTTATCCTTTAATGATGTACCCTGTTCAGTCAAATCTTATTACACAGCAGAAGGAACATCAGCAGGCCATTAAAGTGATTCTGTCCCTAGGTTCACACCTATGCAGGTTGCATTTGATGTGTTTCTGCATTGCGTTGTGTTGCATTTGGCATTTTTGCACTTACATTTTTTTATGCATTTTGATGCCTTTTTGCGTTTTTTTTTTTTTTTCACTTTTTTAATTTTTCTTGTTGATAGGCAGATTTTAAACGCCAGACTCAGCAAAAACGCAATATATTCTTTTCTGCAGCATTTCCATTAAAGTCTATAGAACCAAAAACAAAACATTTTGCATTCGAAAAAGTCCCTGACCCTTTCCAAAAAACGCAGCAGGTGAAAATGTGAACCTTTCCCATAGGAAATCATGTTAAATGGACTGTACTGCATTTCTGCAAAACGCTGCAGAAAATGCTTAGGTGTGAACCTGGGGTAAAGGTTTGTAAACTAAATAAATAAATAACTAACAGATCATATTTACCTTCTCTGTGCAATGGTTTTGCACAGAGCAATCCCAATGCTCTTTTTCTCGGGTTCCCTGCCAGTGTTTCTGGCTCCTTTTGGCCAGTGCCCCCATAGCAAGTGGCTCACTCCCAAACCCCGCTCTATGCTCCCATAAGACACATGGAGCCGCAGCTCAGCCCTGCCCCCTGCTCTCTCCTCATTGGCTCACTGGCTGTGATTGAATGGCTCCTGCTACTAAGTCTCAGCCAATGAGGAGAGAGAGAGATCCGGGATGGCTGAGGCTCCCATGCACATCGCTGGATTGAGAGGGGGCTCAGGTGAGTATTAGGTGGGGCTGTGGGGAGAGCTGCATACAGACGGTTTTTCTTACCTTCATGCATAGAATGCATGAAGGTTAAAAACCTTCAGCCTTTAGAACCACTTTAACATTGTGATTACCACCACAAAGTGTTGTTTTGAAAATACAATAATAGCAAAAACCTAAGCACAATCACCCTAAATTAGTGCCAACTAACAAAGAAGAAAAATATTTTTTACACAAAGATATTTGAAATTATGTGTACCTAATGCTAGTACTGCTGCTCACACTTTTTGTGTTCCCCCTAAAAAAAACAAGCATGTGTAATATGCGTTTATGTCAAAACATAAAATATTTGTAGAACATAGGTGTTTATGTCATCACAATATATCTGAAATAATCCACACCAATAACTGTGATTAAACAATGACAAATTCCAAGTGTCTATATATTTTTATAAGAATCCTCTATGTCCAGTAAAGTGTTGTTTTTTACTTTTGCATTTTACTAACTTGTAAATATAGAGGAGTAAATATGCTTAGTGGCCATCTTTTAAAATTTTTATGGATAAGGTATATATTTTCTGTGCCATTTTACTGAGAAAATCAAACCATTCATATCAGTCTCTGTACCCATTTAAAACACATCCTGAAGGCCTGTTCCTCAGTTATAGATTTGCTCACAACAGTTGGACCAACTCAGGTGAAAGTCATTTACTCTACTAGTATGTTTTAGATTGCCAGTGTCGCTGTAGTTAACATGTTACCAACTATCACACCTAATATTACTTTACAACTGTCACAACTACTGTCACTTTGATAGCCTGTCACTGACCAACAGAATTATCCCTGTTTGGGCAAAGCAGATCAGACACCATGCATCCTAAGGACAACTCTAGGAGCACTACATGTTCTTATAAGATGTAGGTTTTAAAGTCTATGAAAACACGGTAAACATAAAAGGTTAAGGGGCTCCACTCTGTAGCATCTACCAAAAACTGAAATGTCAGTGTTTAGTAGACGGACTCTATGGGATTTATTTACCGAAGCTGGAGAGTGCAAAATCAGGCTCACATCTGCATAGAAACCAATCAGCTTCCATGTTTTATTGCCAAAGCCTAATTGAACAAGCTGAGGTTAGAATCCGATTGATTTCTATGCAGAAGTGAGCCTGATGTTGCACTCTCCAGCTTTAAATAAACCCATAGTAAATAAACCCTTACATTTGTTAAGAAACTGGTTCTGAAAGTATTTCATCAAAAACCTGTAAACGTGCAATGCAAAGGCTGTGTAACAAGTTTTATCTGTTATTTGTTTATACGTATTCCATTTGAAGTAAAGAATGCTCTCGGTAAGAGATATTGACCTTGTTTTTTTCTGTTGTTTCTATAGGTACATGGACAGAGGGCTGCCTGGGAGGATCCTGTTGAGTGGGTTCGGGACACATTGCCTTGGCCTTTAGCACAACAGGATCAATCAAAGTTGTTACATCTACCACAGCCCAGTATGGGGGGTCACATCTCATCCTCCCCTCCCAGGGAACACACTGTGAAGGAATCACCTCCAGCTTCTATTGAATCAGATCCTTTGGTATGTGCAAAGTTTAGTTTAATATTTAAGAACAAGAAATGAACCTGTGTGAGAGGTAGAATGATTCTTTGTGATGTGTTAGCTCTGATAAATGCTTATTCTTATATGCATTAGCTCTTATACATGCTTAATTCTTTGGCTAAAGTAAAGAAAAAAATGTTGGTTCATATAGAATATGATGAACACTTGTAATAACTATTTATTTTTGTTTTCACATAGTAAGTCAAATGCAGTGTGATCATTGTATGAACTCCAAAGAGGCCAACAACATTTCGACTGCTGTTATATTGCATGTATATTCGGGTCATTAACAAATGCAATATGATAGGTGGTTGGACACTGACAACAATAAGCAGTTGGGACATCACCTATACAACCACTTCCACTCACAGCTAACTTCAGTTTTGTTCTAGTGTCCATAGGTGATGAATCTCTTCTTTCTACTGAGAGGTTACCTTCTTCCTATGGGGATTTTTGTATCTCTTCTGATGATTGTTCTATCATAGGACCCCACTAGATGAAAGAAACAAGTTTGACCTCTAATGTTGTGGAGGGCACTGGATCCTACTTGGGCAGTCCCCTTGGCATGTAGTGCATCAGGTTGAGTTAGCCACAGGGTGTTATACAGGTCCAGGTCCATGACCTGCCAGCAGCAAAGCTCTGTCCCTGAAAACCTTGTAGTATGCTCATCATGTAGGGCTAAGCCAGAATTGGGTCTGACAAGCTCTATGCCTTTCCTTGGAAAAAAGAAGTTGCTTCGACTACAGGCTTCTGTTTTGCACTAGGGCCTGGGTGCACCAACAAAAAAATTGAATTCAGTATATCTCTTTCCTCACTTTAGACTCAGGTTCACAGACACTATTGCACCTGCACAGACTCACTGGCTTGTTTCCCCCGTACTTGTCTGGCCATAAGGGCTGGTGTATTTTTCTTTCTTGGTTCACTTACTGAGCTTCTTTCTTTCTAGATATGTATTTACAGTGGTAGCATCTTGCAGTCCACCATACCTGACATGGTACAGCAATCGGTTATTTTGTATTCAGTGGCCTGCATTGCTTGGCATGAAAGACCTTCCCCTCAATCTTCATAGCATAGCACATGGCACATCCAAAGTGCAAGAGGAAGAAAGAGCCAGATGAACTTGCTATATATACAGATCCTTAGTATACTCCATTTGGACGATTACCTGCAGTCTGACCCCCTGCCTTCTTTTGGGTTCTTTACTGGCCTGTTAGCTGCACACCTCTCTGCCTTTTTTTTTTTTTAATCAAAGAAGGTGTTTTTAAAAAATGTCTGATTTTATAGGCAGAATTTGAGAATTCAAATTCTGCCTATACCAGGGGTCATAAGGATCTCCCTTCAGCCTTTCTTCCTAAGTTGGTCTTTGACTTTGCCTTTATGATGGATACACGACCAGAAGAGGTGGTAGATGATGAAGATCCCCCTTTCTTTTGGAGGGATCAGATAAGGATCTTCTTTTCTAATAAAAAAATTTTATTGAAGAGTAAGAAATATAACATGTTAAGCAAAAACAAGTTTTCATGTGCAATAAAGATAAAGTAGGTATGACAAATGTATACAAGATCCAAGAGGTGAACACAAGGATTGGGGGGGCCACTTGCACACAGCTGCTAAAGTCACACTGTAAAAAGTGATAATGGAATGCTAGAAAACCAGCGCTAGGGTGAATGTTTCTTAGAATGATGATGAATGGTAACCATAATTCAGTTCCATAAAAGGTATGCTTTATTATGTGAACATTGGGTACAATGTTACCAGAATAGTTCCGCATGCAGCGGTGTGGGCCAGGCACGACTAGAAGAATGGCCGCTCACCTGCGTCCCCAAACTGGGAGTGGTGTAGACTCAGGTGGCTAACCCGGCCAGGGACCGTGGAGCACCAGAAGGGATGTCACACCACCGAAGGGGAAGCGGAAGTCAGGCACTGAACATGGACCGCAAGCTGGAGCTGGTAACCAGGACAACGCATTTCGCGCGCATGCGGTTTGTCAAATTATGCAACTTGGAGTCTTCCAGCAACTTGTCAATAGAGCTGTCAGTGACATGAAGGATCCGCCTCTTCCTCTGTGTCTCTTCTGCAGCTAGCCAACCAGAGAACTGGCAACATGGACGCTCCGCCTCCACGTCTGTCTGCAGCCAGCACTGGAGTGAATTGAATGGATGTGCCCAAGTTGTCGTGGTTCAGATAAGGAACTTACCAGATAAGATGTCTTTGGCTGAAATTTCATCCAAACTTAAGGATACCATAGCTGTATGCTCCTTAGCATTAGGACAGCTTGAGTCTGCTTGCCCCAGTGTCTTCAGTATGGAGTTCCTAAAATTACCAAAAATGCTTTGCACAGTATCCTACTGAGGAAAGTTTCATGCAAAAGTGGACAGTTTCTGTAGTGGATCTTGCTTCTATGACAGTCTGCCAGACCATTGCTGTCTGGACTAAGCACATGGCCCAAGATCCTAGTTCCATCCTAAAGGATGCTTCAGTCCACAGTAGTTACAGGTTTTATCATTGGTCTTATGCTGCTGCATAATTGGCTTGTTGGATGCACTTCACCAGATCTCCAGGATGAATCTTATTCACATGCTCAGGATCCTTTGGCTTAAATGCTGGCCAGCAGGAGTCCCATGTAAGAAAGGCCTTGAAAGGTTTCCCTTTGAAAATAAATGCCTGTTTTGTCCTTCCTTGAATAAGGATATATAGAAGGTCAAAATGGGATAGAGTACGCTCTGCCCCTTGAAAAAGAAGACTCAGCCATCTATGAGTGGGTTTTACTACTAAGGTTCCTTTGATCCTTCTAAGGCCTCCAGTTCCAAATCTAAGCTAGGAACATTCTTTTGTAGAAAGACATTGCCCTCCAAACTGGGTAAAACGTGTTCTAAGCCCTCTTAATAATATTGGAGTGCCACCACTTGTCAGAGTGAAGACGTTTGCTGGCTCTCTGATCCCAGGAAATCTCATACATCTGGGTCCACAGAGTGATGAGATAAGAGACGCCACACACTAGCTCAACAGTGGAGAGGTATGTGAACAACCTTAGCCTTGAGCATCTCCTGAGCCATGCCCCTGATGCATTTTGGCCCACCCATTGGGGCAGAGTCATAGAGGTATGACTATGCCTAAGCCCCCAATGGGTGGGGCGAAATGCATCAGAGGCATGGCTCAGGAGGAGCTCAAGGCTGAGGCCGTTCACATACCTCTCCACTTCTTAGGCTAGTGGTGTACAGTGTCAATTATACCCTCATGTTTCACTGCTTTCTGGATCAAGCACATGACAACATACACCGTTATATTGCTGTGAGGCACTGAATTTAGTAGAGCTCTTTGACCGGCACTACAAGTTGTTATCTGGGTCCAGAGTGTCATTTCCAAGGGCTACAAACTGCAGTTTTGGGCTTTTCCCCTTCAGGCTTTCAGACTTTCCTTTCTCTCCTCAAAGATGGGCAGCTGTTCTTACTACCATTCAGAAGATACTGTCTCATCATAAACCCCTTTACTAAAAAAGAGGAGCATGTTCAAGGTTTCTACTTGGACCTCTTTGAAATTTCCAAACCAAATAGAGGTGTACCGCCCTCTCTGGGTCTAAAGAATCTCAATTTGTTCATCTGGGTTCAGAAGTTCCACATGGAAACTGCCAGATCAGTCATTGCCTCCCTCATGCCAAGAGATGTTCTGGCTTCATTTGGGATGTCTACATGTACATAACTATCTTTCCTTCCACACTTTATCTCTGTTTTGCAATGGGCAACCAGAATGAACAATTTGTCACCCTTTCCTTTGGCCTACCCTGGAATTGATGTCTGTCCCTCTGCTTTCACTTCCTCAGGACCTCGTTTCGTGAGTTGCATGTGGGTCTTGGGTCTAATGGTTTCCTTGTTCAAGGTTGTACTTTCAGCCCAGTTTCACTCAAAAAAGTTGCATCCTAACACTTTGACAGTGTGGGAAGAGAAACAGACCTGGTCCTTGGACCACCCCATGTATCTGATTCACAAAGCCAGACTCTCCCTGGCTTATTGAATTTCAAACCCTGAGCTAGAGTCAGGGGAGCTCTTTCTTCCAAAGACCAGGAAGGTTCTCATGACGGATTCCAGTCTTTCGAGCAGGTGAGGAGTTCTGAATACTCTCTCAGTACAGAGCACTTGGTTGTCAAAGGAAGGCTGTCTTCCCATCAACATCCTTAAGCTAAAGGTACAATTCAGTTGTCCCTTCAGCACGATAGCCCTCAATTGTGAGGGCAACCAATGAAAATTCAGTCAGACACCTCCACAGCTGTGGTCTACATCAACCATCAAGGGGGCACCAGACGTTGCCTGAAGGTTCTTCCTTTCCTATGTCTTGCTCTGAAATATCCAAAGGCAATTTTTATCCACTGTTTTGATGTGGTACATGCCAGGTGACCAGTTTTCCTCTTTAATGAAAGGAGGTTGGGGTGCCCTCGGGTGATGGGTCACTCCCAATAGTACACTAGTGCCACGTCCTAATTTATGCTAGTCAAAAGAAACAGGGATAATACAAATGGACTTTATAGACAGACTACATACACGTGTTCGTAAAATCAGTATTGCTTTATTTGACATTACGTCACATATAAACCATAGTGTTAAAAGACTTGTTAAGTGATATCCCCGCAATGAATAACCCAAAGCCCACCATGTAATAAAAGGAACACAACCAGTGATGAAACATGGAAATAACCACCAGGATGATCCTATAGGGAGGTGAGGAATATTCTAGCGCTGGAGAGTTTGCCCGACATGTTCCACGACAGCAGACGCTTCCTCAGGGGCTAATTGTATATATAAAAGAGATGCATAAACTTAGATAAACACAACAAAACTAGAGGTCATACAGACATAATACAGGGCTTATAAAGTATGTAATAAACTTACATAAAATATCATTATGCACCAGACAATCATGAGCCCTCCAGTCAGTGAGAGCAGGCCTCAATGTACCCAATGGGGCGAAAACCATCCAGGGGGCCAGGTGTGGGGGCGCAAAAGAGGCGAGGCAGGCCAGCACCCAGAGGTATCTCAAAAGGCTAAATTCCAAATAAGGAGAAGTAATGAAGATCCAAAAAGAGCCTGAATAAAAATATATATAGAGAGAGACTCAAAATATCATCATACATTAAATAGCACTGATTATGTAAGGAGAATTATTTACCTTACCACAGCTCTGGAGGGAGGAGGCTTATGTTCAAATAAGAGATGCCAAGCTTCTGCAGTGTTGAAAAACAGCACAGCTATCTAAAAAGGTATATTGCCATTATGTTAGTATACAGAACATGTCTGACGGCCCATCTCCTTAGGGTAATGTGAGTAATCCTTAGTCATAATAATGTAGTTATAAAGACATCCAAAGCTGAACCGTGGAAAATATACAGAGATTTTAGCCCAAGCACATTGGTAGTGGTAGACCACCTCCTGGCAAAAGATTGGCCGTTGGGCCTAAAAAGGGAAAAACAGGCCATATGATATATATGTAATATATTACTCATCAATGACTTGTCAGGATAATACAAATTCATCCATCAATGGCAGGTGTCTTACCGGAAATTGAGTACAACAGTGCTGAGTCACAGAGAGCTAATAACAGAAACGTCCTCCAGGGCAAACGCCCTAACAAGAATGGCAGAGATCGGGTACCGGTCTGCAGCCTATAAAGCACCCTGGCGCAGCGCGCCCGCTCCAAAGCGTGTGATGTGGGTGTGTTGTGCCTGCGCATCACTGACGGCCATGTGCGGTGACGTCACATGCTTTGGCTTGGGCATGCTGCGCCGGGGTGATTTATAGGCCGTAGACCGGTACTCGATCTCTGTCATTCCTGTTAGGGCGTTTGCCCTGGAAGACGTTTCTGTCATTAGCTCTCTGTGACTCAGTGCTGTTGTACTCAATTCCCAGTAAGACACCTGCCATTGATGGAATAATTTGTATTATCCTGACAAGTCAGTGATGAGTAATATATTACATATATGTCATATGGCCTGTTTTTCCCTTTTTAGGCCTACCGGCCAATCTTCTGCTAGGAGGTGGTCTACGATTACCAATGGGATTGGGCTATACTCTCTGTATATTTTCCACAGTTCAGCTTTGGATGCCTTTATAACTACATTATTGTGACTAAAGATTACTCACACTTCCTGATCGGTAGGTTCTGCTTTGTAGCCTGTGTTTAATAGGAGATGGGCCGTCAGACATGTTCTGTATACTATCATAATGGCAATATATCTTTTTAGATAGCTGTACCCGTTTTTCAACACTGCAGAAGCTTGGCATCTCTTATTTGAACATATGCCTCCTCCCTGTTAAGGATTGTAGACTAGTTGATGATTATTATTTCTGATCTCCTTGATGCAAGGGAGCACCCTGTATTTAACGGCGCTGTGGTAAATAATTCTCCTTATACTGTATACTTAATCGGTACTATTTAATGTAGAATGATATACTGAGTCTCCTATATATATATATATATATATATATATATATATATATATATATATTTTTATTCAGGATCTTTTTGGCTCTTCATTACGCCTCCTTATTTGGAATTTAGCCTTTTGAAGTACCTCTGGGTGCTGGCCTGCCTTGCCTCTTTTGTGCTCCCATACCTGGCCCCTGGATGGTTTTCGCCCCATTGGGTACATAGAGGAGGCCTGCTCTCACTGACTGGAGGGCTCATGACTGTCTGGTGCATAATGATATTTTATGTAAGCTTATGACATACTTTATAAGCCCTGTGTTATGTCTGTATGACTTCTTGTTTTGTTGTGTTTATCTAAGATTAGGTATCTCTTTTAGATATACAATTAGCCCCTGAGGAAGCGTCTGCTGTCGCGAAACATGTTCGGCAAACTCTCCAGCGCTAGAATGTCCCTTACAGCCTATAGGATCATCCTGGTGGTTATTTCTATGTTTCACCACTGTTTGTGTTCCTTTTATTACATGGTGGGCTTTAGGACATCCATTGCAGGGATATCACTTAACAAGTCTTTTAACACTATGGTTTATATGTGACCTAAGGTCAAATAAAGCAATACTTTTTACTAACATGTGTATGTAGTCTTTGTGCCTATAAAGTCCATTTGTATTATCCCTGTTTCTTTTGACCAGTTTTCCTCTTTGTTCTTCCAATTGACTGTCGCAGGTGACTTCCTGCTTCTCACTCCACCCCTATTAGGTGGATTAGTCAATTAATCTTTTTGAGCCTCAAGTCTAAAGGATAGGGTTTCTCCCTTCGCATTTAGGACATACTCTAGATCTGTTAGTGCTTCCTGAGATTTTCAGCATCAGGCATCTGTTTCTCAGATTTGCAAAGCTGCTGGTATTCTGTTCACACATTTTCTACCTGGTGGATGTTCCAGCCTTTTCTGATGTTAATTTCTGGCGTTAAGGTGCTACAGGCTGCTCAGTTCTGCTGAGCCTTTTTCCACTTGCTGTCACGTAAGCTTGTTGTCGTTGTTGTGTTGCCCGCTCTTCATTGTACAGTACATGACACAAGACCTCTATAAAACTGAGGCTATCTGGAAGTGGGAGGAGTTCCATTGGGCATGTCTTAGAAGCTCTCTTTACCGGTATCCAATCACCTGAAGGTAGCTGCATATAACACATACTAAAGACCTCTGTACTGTACTCCAAGAAATATACTTTACTCTTAAGTCAAAAATCCAATTTTTATAGCATGGGATTTCCTCCTCCACTAACTGTATGTTCATTGGGATTGGAAGTAAATAGGATCATTCTTTTTTCCGTAGAGTGGAATGGGTAAAACCAATGCCATTTTTATTGCAGTATTTGTCCCTGGGAGATTAACCACACTTTTTGTGCGCCATAAAGGGACACAGTAGTAAAAGTCTGGCAGAGGTTCCAACTCTTCCCCACTATATCAAAAACCTGAAAAAAAATGGCTTTGGCTTCAGTATATACTATATTTTATATTATATAGCTGTTATTAAATAAATTATTCTTCTAGATCTGTTTGACCTGACAGTACTAACAGCACGTGGGGCTTGGTAGTTGTGCAGAATGTCTTAAACGTGCCTGTCTTTGTAACAGGGTACATGTCACAATAGAGGGATTTGCTGTCTATATTGTAGGCAGTTTTTTTTACTCACCAACACCTTGCTTACCACTGAATGCTCAAAAAAAACTTCTGACATGCATTCAGCAGTCAGTGCAGTATAACTGAGCATTGACTTACATTTACTATAAATAGCAAATGTCTCTCTATTAAATATCTGACATCCTGCACTCAAGAGCCAAGAGATGCAGGAGTACTTTGTGGGTGGCACATCAGTAATGGTTGTTAGTGTCAGCTCAGAATGTGTTGCTCTTCCTGAAAACATGACAAATGCTGCTGGGCTTTAATGTATTTTTAATTGTATCAGGCTGACAGCTTTTACATCCTGACACACTTCGTATTTTTGTTTACAGATGGCAATGCTATTAAAACTTCAAGAGGCTGCCAACTACATTGAGTCTCCAGACAGAGAAACCTTGTGTGACAGTGACCTCACTTCCACCATCTGAATGCCAATAACCTGGCATTCCAGGGTTGATATCCCATTCAATACCACCCATACCCACAAGAAACGGTGAAACTGGAAGTTCAATCTTGAGACAGCAACATTGGAGCACCTCAGAACTGAGTTTGGACTCGCTTTATTACCCTTGATTTTACTTAAATAATTATGCTGCCCTACTTTGAAAACAGAAGGAGGAATCTTACAACACAATTAAACATGGATTATTATTTCTAATCTTTTTTCTTCATACAGCAGGTTTGAGGAGGAAAGTGGACTTCTTTTGCAATTATATATTGTTTCCTATAAGTTAAGTTTATTTCTGAGGTTTCATTACTGGCGACCAATTAATCTCCACATATAGTGTCTTCTTTGCCAAGAACAGAAGGCAGCAAGTGGTGGACAGTTGTATGTGGATGGGAAAGGGAATGGGAATGGAGGGTTTTTCTTTTTAAGACTGTTAAAAGTATAACTGTACTTCCTGGGCGCAACTTAATGTCAGATGGATCTGCAAAGGATCATTCTGGCGCAACTGTAGATGTGACATTCATGTGTCAGAATTTTTGGTCACCACCCATCTCAGAAGTGTGAAGTGCATTCCTACCGCCATCTGCATTCCTCATACCATCTTTGTGTGGGAAATCCATTTGCCTTTATGTCCCCTAAACGTCTCTAAATTCAGAATTCAGTAGCATGCCAGACTATATTCTGAGACTATACACCACCTATGGCTGTGGGATTATTTAGAGTTTAAGGTCAGCCTTACAGTTTTTTTTTTTAATTTTAGATGTGCAAAAATGGGGGGTATGTGATATTGTGGTGTAGGAGAAACCAGTGACACACACATTGTGCAGCATGACGTGAACGTGCATTTGAGTAAATTAAGAGCCTTACAAGAGGAACATGGGTACAATACAGGATTACATTATGCAACAGATACACTAGGGAGGAAATGTATCAGTAACAGACTCTATCCGTATATGGTTTTCCAAGAAATGTGAATTGTTCTTTCCATTTTTTTAATCTCATTTTTAAAATGTGTTCCAGAATTCCTGTGTTTTGGAAATAAGTCGGTTCTCTGCTGTGTAGACCTCTAGGGAGGTAGTAAAATACACAAGACCTTTAAAAGAGTAAAATCGGACAAGTTTAAACCAAGTGCTAAATACGAGAAAGCATTAAAGCATGAAAGATAATACTCTCTAACCAGTTCAGTATTATGAACAATTTATCGTTTACACCACATCAATGTACAGGATCTAATGTGCATGCAGGCTAACAGGTGTCTTTCTTAGCATGGAGTAAAGCCATCCAGCTCTAATGTACTAGCTAAACAGCACTCTATTTTCAAAATGATTTTTATAGAAACCAGTGTGGCAGATACAGTGATAACCTTTTAAAATTGGTGTCATAGGGGGCTCTTTACACACTGGAGCTGACATGTAAACAGAAGGAAGAATGCTCTCCTCTGATGCATAGGATGGGCTGATAAATCTAAAATAAAAGCTACCTCATGTTCAAGGCGTTCTTAATAATATCTTAAAAATATGTAATTAAAGCAATGCCGTCCTATTGCAAGACGTGTTTTGTTTTGCCTTTACATTTATTGTGAAGCTTAACTGAACATCATTAGCTGTTTCAGACTGCTTGTGGCCTTTCAATTCGATTACTGAACAAAGGATAGCCATGCGCAGGAGAATTTTGCCCTTGAAAAATGAAAGCATTGTCAGCAGTGTACCTGTACAATGGTATGATTTTACAGGTATATCTGTTATTGCTAATATCTTTATATTACCTTTATTGTTCAGGCAATTGCAGTTTAAGTTTACTGTTCTTTAGGCCCTGAAGATACAAATGTGCCCATTTGCTAACTACATAGACTCTCCCTCACAGTGAGGAAGAGCATTTGCTTCTCTTTTTTTCCACGTCAGCTCTTCTTACAGTAAAGGAGTTAATGTGATAAGTGCCCACAACAGTGCTGTTTCAGTTACCACCACTGCACCTTGTGCTATTTATCCAGAAGTTAAAGGTTAGTCCGATGCAGGAAAACCTACAGATTACAATTCATTTTCAAGATCCATATGGTACATTATAGGTAACTTGCACATTTTATGTCAAAGAACAAAATTTGGGTCAATTACAAATATGCAGTACCATTGTACAAATTCTTTTCTTTCATATTATGCCTGTCCTTATAGGAACTGCATGAATTAGTTGTGGACACCAGGCCTTCTCAAACACAGGTGTGCAATTGCTTACTTTCCCAATATGCATATTTTATGTGCGGGCACTTCCAAAACTTTCCTATAGAAGCCTTTTCTACTTACTGTACAGATGTATTCTCTGTACCAAATATTCTGTAGTGCTAGTAGATTGGATTTTTAGGTGTTTCCATATGTTTTAATGGTAGTTCCAGCAATTAAAATTCAGCAGCTTGTCTAGTTTAGGATATGAACAAGGAAGCATATTTGCACATACTTAAATGCGATGCGTGTCTGCAGATTTTCTGGTTTGTAAATGATAAACTTTGAGAAAAGACCCAATTTTCAAAGCAGAACATTATCAGGACTATTTCCAAATTTAACTTCTTTGAATTATTATATTACTGAAACTTTTTTTTCATACAGACAGTCCTTTCAGTCTACTTTTCTCTCCAAGATCATGTAGTATATTAAGAACCACAAAATTTAAAACACTTAAAAATTTAAATCCAATTATACAACAGAGCTAATCATAAAAGTTAATAAAGTTTCATGGTCTGAAAATTGAATTAATTTTCAGACCAAATTACTATTATACGTGGTAGGAGCAAGTACATTAAACACTTTGCCAAACAATGCTTGTCAGCTTCTACATAGCTTAAAATGGCTGATTACATGAATATCCTGTTATGATCTAAAATTGCCTAAATAGATATGATTCATAAGACCACTTGCCCTCCTGAGGATTTACCCCCTTCCTGACCAGGCCATTTTTTGCGGTACAGCGCTGCGTTACTTTAACTCACAATTGCAAGGTCATGCAATGCTGCACCCAAATGAAATGTATGTCCTTTTTTTTACACGACTTGAGCTTTCTTTTTGTGGCATTTGATTGCCTGTGCGTTTTTTTATTTTTTGCGCTATAAAAAAAAAGATCGACAATTTTGAGAAAAAGAACTATATTTTTGACTTTTTGCTATTAAACATGTCCAATAAAAAAAATTTAAAAATCAAATTTCATCATAAATTTACGCCAAAATGTATTCTGCTACATGTCTTTGCTGAAAAAAAAATCCCAATATGTGTAAATTAATTGGTTTATGTGAAAGTTATAGCGTTTACAAATGGCGGTATATATACTGAGATTTTTTTTTAATTTTTACTAGTAATGGTGGTGATCAGCGACTTATAGCGGGACTGTGGCGGACATTCTGACACCCCCAGTGACACCAATACAGTGATCAGTGCTAATATAAAGCACTGACACTGTACTAATGGCACTGGGCAGGAAGGGGTTAACATGAGGTACAATCAAAGGGTTAACTATGTTTTACTAGGGGGCGGTGTCTGTGTGCTTCACTGTAATCACACTGCTCTGGATAGCTATTTCTGTGCACAGCCATCCAGAGCAGTGTGCCTGAGCTGACAGGGAGGAGAACTGTTAGTAAACAAAACAGTCCTCCTCCCTGTTGGAGATCTTCGGAAATCATGGGGCACTGGTGAGTATTTGCTGGCTGGGACCCAGTGATTAATAGCCACGGCCACGAATGACAGCGCGGGTAGGGCGCGCGCATGGCTCGCGTGCACCCCCTACCCGGAAATGCGAAATCGCACATATATATATATATGTGTGCGTGCCGCCCTCTAGCAGTATTTCTGCTATAGGGCGGTCGGGAAGCGGTTAAAATGTACAGTACGTTAACTGGGGTTTACTTACTAAAACTTGAGAGTGCAAGATCTGGTGCAGCTATGCATGGTAGCAAATCAGCTTCTAACTTCAGCTTGTTCAGTGAAGCTTTGAAAATAAAACCTGGAAGCTGATTAGTTTCTATGCAGAGCTGCACCAGCCCTTGCACTCTCCAGTTTTAATAAATAATCCCCTTTGTCTTTAATTAAGGTGGCACCAGTAAATAAAGGCATCTCTCTTGTAACAACAATTTATAACCTTTCTGTCATCATGGGCCTTTGGTGAAAAGTATATGTCAGAAGTAGCAGGCACGGCAATTATTAGTAGGCAAGGTCCTCCTGTCAAATTAATGGCTAGGCACTGCTAAACAGAGCTGAAAGTGCAATTTTTTTCATGGATGCTTTCTGCTAGCATTGCACAATTTTATGTGTAGTGCTGGTGTGCTGCAGAAACTGTACTTTTTTTTTTTGTAAATGTAATTGTGTGTACCCTCTTCAGGGCATCCTCATACTATTGATATATTGTAACCATTGATTTGTCTTTTGATTTAAAGCACTCAACTCACCTAAATTGCTAAATTCTATACATTTTTTTATCAATGCTGTAAATTGTGTTATTATGTATTTGTTGCACTTTATCATTTTCCGCATTGCTGGTCTCTGTGGTATAGCATAGGTAAGCACTCCTGTGGGGGTCGCATTCAATAACTATAAGCTTTATGCAGTGTAGGGTAGGGGGAAGGCCACTGGCCCATTAATTTAAAGATGGGTACAGACATTGGTGCTAAGATCAGGTGCTCTTTGTCTTTTGGATAGGAGAGACTTGTGCACAGTAGTCTGATGCAAGTCCTCTCCTATTATTGGCAGAAATGTAGTAAAAATCCCTTGGTGCTCACAACAGTGTCATCCCCTGGACAGATCAACAGTGTCATAATACCTACGGAAGGGATTAAATAACAGCAATATGGTGTATAACAGTTCTGCACATTTTGTACTCTAATGTGGGATGATATAGTAAAGAGTGAGCCCAATAATGCTATGAAAATTAGTAGACTTTGTAAAATTCTTCTAGCATGCTGGGGAAATTTTAATGATTCAGAAGCAAGCCTGAACTAGTACTAGA